TGGAAGCTGGTTCAGACGAGCCTCACAAGCCTCGTGGCCACTGGCACCGGGCAGTAGGGGCAGCACGCCTCAGCCTGTGACTAGAGCGATGGCGGCAAGAGGATCTCCGCTGGCCAGGCTCGAATCCAACGACGGCGAGTCTTCGACTAAGCGCCGTAGAAAGTGTTGCGGGCTGCCACTATGGGCCTTTATTCTCATCGTCTTTCTCATTTTGGGAATCATTGCCGCCGCAATCATCGTCCCCCTCGAATTCTTCGTATTCCGCAAAAATAGATCTGCTACTCCTCCAGCAGCGGAGCCGGCCCTGACCCAGTGCCAGAACCAGCTCAAGTGCGAGAACGGCGGAACAAACGTCGTATCACAAAACGTTTGTTCCTGTATCTGTATCAACGGGTTCACTGGGCAGACCTGCACCGTGGCCGGAGCAACAGGCTGCACCACCACTAACCTTTCGGGGAACTCTACCTCGACTAATTTTAGTAATGTCACTCTCGGCCAGGCGGTTCCACGACTACTGCAACAATCACAGACGAACTTTACGGTTCCTCTGGACGGTACCGATATTCTTGCGAAGTTCAACACGGAAAGCCTATCATGCATTGCGCAGAACTCGCTCGTGACATTCGACGGACGTTCCACTCGCACTGGAACTATCATTTCAGACACGGATCTCAACGCCAAGGGCGCAATTCCTGTTCAGGTCATCACTATCCTCCCAGGACAAGCGGCAACTATCACGATTGACATCAACGCACCGGGAGGTGTGATCCTACCCTCGCCAGATATTGTTGGTGGATTCACAACACTCACAGGGCCGTTCCGTGTCACAACCATTCACGCTTCCAGCTCCACCATGTGGGCTACTATTCCAATGGTGCCCTCACCAACACCAACACCTGAGACGACTTCCTCTGTAGCCCCGCCGGCAACTACGATCCCGCCTACGACGATACCAACGACAACCACGTCAGAGACCCCTCTGGTCCCCTCAGTACCAGTGTCGTCTGCGCCAGCACCTAGCCCGACCTTCACGGTCACCGAGGAGACATTGGACTTTGCCCGTGTCTCGATTCTTCTCATTCTCGAGAGGCAAACCTTGATGGCGGCGACAACGGCACAGACAGTTTTGCAGCGTTTCTTCACGACTGCGGACCAGGGCACTCGGCAGCAAAGTGGCGGCGTTACGCCCGCCCAGGCACTGAACGTGACACTTGGCGGAGGCAACTCAGTGGACCTTGTCAATTTCCTCATCACCATCCCGGGAGGCATTCAGGTTGGCCGCAAGAGCAGCTGAGAGGCGAACACAAAAAACGATGGCCGACCGCACGATGGTCATGGCGGCGTGCCGAGGCGTGCGTGGAAAAAAATGTACATAGATATGACGCTTAATGAGGTGACTCGGCGCTCCTTCTTATGGTTAGGAGCTCTGGGCGGTACGAGAGATGTGTAGGCACGCCGGCCGACCATGTTGTATAAAAACATTCTGGTGCGTTTTTCTTATTTTCTACGAGCGGAGGACATTTTTGGCAACGCATAGCATCTCGTCGTGTACGAGTAAGTAAAGCGAAGGCGTTGGAACTGAGAGAAGGAAGTCGAAGGAGCTATGCAGATACCACTGATATCAAATCAAGACATAATCACCTGTACACACATGACTGTATTGGTTAATGGGGTGAAGTGAAAAAATGAAGTTGGGAAACCAAAGGGATGTGATCGTTCCAGTTAGCTTTCACGGTGTCAAATGACGTAAAGGTATGTAGTATATATGAGGGACAGAGTGTGTGGGCTGGCTGCTTGTCACGATATTGGCAGTAGGGTTTTGATAGGATGGAAATCCTTATGGGATGTCCTGGGCTCGTGGCAGATTGTCGGGATCGCCGCGGAGGGTTTAATCTCAGCGAACCAAGGATTTGAATCGGCGGGCCTTTGTGCCGTAAGCCGGCGCGGATTGTCTAGATGAACATCATTCAAGTTGACCGAGGTTTTTTCTTTTCTTTTCTTTTTTTTGCAACGTGACTTTGTGCCCGCAGTCTCGGGCTGGTACCACGAGGGTCAATGGATGGTTCAATACCCGGGCTTCAAGACAGAAGTCGCGCAAAGAGGTGAGTACAGGCAGCGGGTCCCACATTTGAAGCTTTCGAAGGCAACATGCTGGTTTTCTTCTTCTTCTTTCGAACAGCGCGCCGTTTTCCCTCTCAGGTTAATTGATTGAGATGTTTGAGGAAGAGACTTGACGGAAGGCGTGGGATGGGCTTTTTGTTTTTTCCCCACTGCTCTACTTCTTGTGTTTCTATGATTACGGATACAGAATTAAAATAAGAATATGTACGACTAGCGGGAGCAACTGAAGTTTTGCTAGAATGCTGTCGTGCTACGTTGAACAGAAAAGTAAACAACGTTCTACGCGACCTCTTGAGAGAAATCGAGGCTGAGCTGAGCCTTGACGACCGAAAGACACGGCTTTCCCAAGGTTTGTGCCAAGTCGCTGGAAGTTGAGATGGGCGGGAGCTTGGCGCTAGGACTGATTGTAAGTTCTTTCCGAGAAGTTTGCTATTTGCCTCTGGTTAGTTAGTTGCAGGTGGGCTTGCGCAAGAATTCGGTGTTTCTTGGCAAGCAGAGTTTGATATCTTTCGCGGTGGCCTGAGCGTTTCGACGTCTTTCTTTCTCGCCTTGTATGTCGAACCTTTAAACCATCTTCGAGAATGGTGTATCTGTTACAGCGCGGACAGCCGGCCTGATTTTGTGTGTACGGATACTCCTCCCCGCTTGAATTCCTCAGTCTCGACCCTCGCCCACATTGTGGCCCTGGACTTATCGTCTGCCGGGGACCACAACAGGGTCGAGAATGGCGAAATTTGAAGTGCCCAGCCCGGTTATCTCAGGGCAAGGAAACATGGCCCCCGCCGCCGGCGGTAGTGGTTTTGGTAGCGCGGGGGAGAGAGCCCCAGGAAACTTCCATGAATCTTTGATATGGTGAATCCGTGTTCAAGGGCATGTCTCTGCTACAAGTGCCGACCTTCTGATATTCAGTTCTTAGTGGACAGAAGTCTCTCTCAGACTCACGCACACTCTGTGCCACTGTGGCTCTGCGCGCGCTCTCTCTCTCTTTCTTACTTTCCAAATTCCCAGGCACTAACAGATCCTCCTCTTCCCCCTTCTCCACCAAAACACCCCTGCGATTTCTCAACCCCCTTTCCAGGCGCAGGCGTGCCAGAGCAAGGGTTCCTGCATCGGTGCCAATCCTTCCCTTCCCAAGTTTCCCCCCCGGTGGCCCACTCCTCCCCTCCTCCATCTCCTCCACCCGCGTGCCCTGCGGCGGTGCTTGCCAACGATGCCCGTTCGCTTGAGGGTTCAGGGTGGGTTTTCTCGCAGTGGATGAGGGAAATCTGTTCGAGGGTGATTGCGGGCTGTTTGTTCGGCGTTCCACAGAGGAGGGGAGGAGGAGGGAGAGAGTGACGAAATGTGGGAATAAGGACTGGAACATTTCTCAAGGCTCATAGTCCAAAACTCCGGACTGAACTGTCAGCCAGAAAAGTGTTCGTCGGGTGGTCTTGAAACCCATCATCCGTTCTGGACCGCCCCGAACCCCTGAACTTGGTATGTCAGATTTGCAGGAGAACGAACGGTGAACACTCAGAGAGACATGCCAGACACAGCCACACAGCCTCCCTCGTGCTTGGAGCAGACGACAGCATCCATGATCTATCAGAGTGACAGAGGAGGCTGCGAGAACGCGACTACGGGTCATCGTGTCGCAGTTCGGCGCGCGTTACCATGTCGGCTCACTTGCATCACATAGCACGCATCCAACGGGAAATAAGGTAAACTCGCCCGTCCCTCCCATCCTGCCATACCCACCATCCACCTCGTGGTTCTTCACCCCTTGCTAAGAAGGGCCAGCTAAGCCCGCCCATTGAGGCTGTGGAGAGACGAACCATTCTCCAGAGACTGCAAGAGAGAGAGGGGGGGGAGAGAAACGGCCAAGTGCGCTACGGATAAGCAGGTACCGTTTAGCGTAGATGACTCCTAGAGAGTACTTACTTTGCAACAGACACACACCCACATCTTTAGAACGCACTTGGGTCCTGAGAGTAGCAATGAATAGCAACAGAGCCCACTTGGCGCCAGCGGATGCCGCTGATGGCTGCAGCATCATTACTCTAATCCCGGCCGCGCCCTGTTGGGCCTGGCCTTGGGGCAGCAGCAAGAGGAGGAGGCAGAAGAAGAAGAGGCAAAGTGACAGAGAGAGACACCACCCAGTCGGGGACGGCAACTGGACCTGGGCTTTTGCTTTTTGGCTCACAAGTGGGTTGGCTGCTCATCCTTGGATGACCCCTTCCTTGCTCTCTCCCTCGCTCTCAATCTGCCGCCATCTCAATTTACCTTACCTTCCTGTTCGTTGGCTTGGCTTACTTTCTCTTCCTTATCCTCTTCCTCTCACTTTCATCCTCACTTCTTCCAAATTGCTCTTCTCGCGGGCCATCCTTCCCCTTCGCCTTCGCCTGACTTTTCAACCTTATTCGCTCCTTTACCTGTCTAGTCAGTCGCCCTCCGTCGAAGGAAGGAAAAAGGTTTCCCGCTTTGGTTCTGTTCTTCTTCCTTGCTACCTACCTATCCACCAGTCAATTCGTTTCTCTTTCAATTCTGGCTGCCCGTTCCTTCTTTTGGCTCCTGCTCATCTTGGGTTGTACGGCGCATTAAGACGACGCCAGCCTTCCTTACGTGGGCCGTTCCTCGACGCGCGCAGACATCACAGTCACGCTTCTGGCGTCGCCTGGCCTGACTGACTCGACGACACACTGTTGGGATCCCTTTCACCTTCTCCCCGCAAGGCCTTGTGTCCGGATCCGGTTTGGACTTGCACTCTAAGCGGTTGAACCTCGACGTTCCCCTCCCCCCGGATTCAACTTCATCCCATCTCGAAATAATCTCAAGTAGCACTTCCACATATCCCCAGAAAACGTAGACAGACCTCCACGCCGTCAACAAACCCGCCCATCATGGACTACAACCAGCATCACCACCCGTCAAACTCAATTGACAACGCCGCATATCCCGGGGACTCAAGCTACCAACCCGGCGGCCACCCTTCCAATTCTATCAGCAATGCCGCCTACCCTTCAGACTCATCCTACCGGCCGTCTGACCCGACGATGCCCACCGACGACAAGCTCGCTATGCCCAATGCCCGTTACTCCCAATCCTACAACAATAATCACAATGCCGCCCCCGGCGCCGCCAACAGCAGTAGCAGTACACAAGCACAAGCCCAATTCCCGCCGTATCCAACCAATGCTCCAGCACCTTTCCAGCAATCGCAAGGCTGGAACCAGGCGCAGAACCACGACCCCTTGTACTCTCCCGCTCGTGGGCCGATAGCACCGTGGACCCCGGATGGCATGTCAGCCGCGAACCCTAACCTCCCGCCACCACCGCCGTACGACCCCTCGAGGCCAGGCACGGGGACTACTAACCCTTCGACGCCTCGCGATCCGATATCACCAAACCCCTCAGAGAGTGCCCTTCTCAGCGGACAGCAGCAGCAGCAGAATGGAGCGCATTCCACGCGATCTCAGAGTACCTACACTAGCACCCCACAGCAAGCCCCCGCACCGGCGGCAGCTCACGTAGCCGACGCGGAATCGGGACAAGGGGAACGGAGCGGGCCGCGCGCCTACTTGCAATCGATGACGGGAGGGATGCCGGCTTATGGCAACAGTCCTGGACAGCTTGGCCCCGTCGCGCAGGCTAGGAAGAAGAGAAAGATGAAGCTTGGCATTCTCGCCGGCGTGCTCTGCGCTGTCTTGGTGTTCCTGATCGCGTTGATAGTGGGCGTGCTGGTCGGCATCGTCAAGGTCAACCAGAAGGATGATAAGCCGCCTCCGTCTAACGGACCGCCGAGGCTCTTTTAATTTGCCGACACTTGCACGAGTGGTACTCCCTCCGTTCCTGCGGTTTATCCAGCCCCGGTTTGAGAGATATTGCCATTCTGCCCTCCAGGTTTCTGGACAACTTCCGCACCAAAGGGCGACACAACTTCACCGATACCCAACTTACTTTTTCCCAACATATTCTCTCACTCCTATTCTTCTTTTCTTTTGTGTTCATTACACCACCAACAAAGCTTGGGTTTGGAAAACTTTGATTAATTGGGCGTCGCTTGCGCTGGAGGAGGATGGATGGATGAATGGATGAGGGGGGAAGGACGACACGAGGAAGCGACGTTTAATGTCTTTTTTTCACTTTCTTTACACTTCTCCTTTTTCCTCCTCGGAAACACACGATTTTGGAGTAAAAACTTACTTGAGGAACGGATTCGCGGAGGGATTAAGAAACACAAGTGAAGCTTTTCTTCTTGATCCTGGGAACACCCCGATAGACGAAAGCTGTGGCTTTGCTGAAGAGCGGGCTGCTCAATGAGATTGAAATGATGTCAAGCGTTTATTTGTTCAAGACTTTTTGACTCGTGATCTTCGTTCCCAGGAAATCTCGTAAGATGCTGGAAATTGGTTTCCTTTGGAATTGGGGGGTGAACTTTGTCCCAAGCTTGGGTATTGGGATCTGAGCATCGTCGTCTGTTGTCTATTAGATGAGAGACGAGGGAGAGTGGTCCTTGGAGGTTCGTCGGCTCCTCTTATGGAATAATCCAATGTCACCGACACCAGAAGTGCCGCCCATGGCTTACTCAAGGCTGCATGTTATTGTCCCCCCCTCTGCCTGTTCTCGCTTCTTTCCATGGAACACCTCCCCCCCCCCCTTGCTGCTGAATCCCATTGCATTTGTGACTCAGGAGTCATCGACGAGGCGGAGTAGATTGCTTGACGGAAAGACGACGTGTACTCGACCTTGGGTGCTTTTGTTCTCGGCTCTTGGTTTGTGCGTAACATGAGACTTTCTTCCTATGCTGGGCAGACAGGATCCTTCTGCTGGTGTGAGGTATCTGGCAGTGATAACTCTCCATCATACATAGATAGAGAAGGAGTTAAGGTGACCACCTCTAGGTTGTTGGCGTTGAGAATACGTCTTGTTCAGGAAAAGACACAGACTTTGGGGCCGTCAGTTGGCCTTGGGTAGGTGGAGGATGAGGGAGACGGTACCCACCAACCACCCATGCTGACACCGGCGATGGAATAGTCGCCTTTGTAAATGTTGTGTTGTGCGAGGATGGTGGAGAGTCAATCTGGCCCTGGCCCGGTCATTACCTCGATTTAAGGATGAGGAAAGGTGTGTGCTGTTCTGATGATCGAGCTTGACGCGGATACCCTTATTCTATACAAGGCTTGGTTCTACTTCTTGTTCTGCTGGCCATAAGAGGGGATTGATATCAAGCCATTTGGTTCGCTCCCTCCCATTGAGTATCGTTCAACAGAGAGCAGTTTAGGTATCATGTCATTCGCACCGTCGTGCCGAGCAGAAGGCACCCTCGTTGGCTTGTTATGACGATGTGAGGTATCATTGGGAGAGAGAACTCTGAACCTTATTCATTCTCTTGAGGGTTCGGAGAAGGAAGAAAAGGAAGCACATTCGGATTCATCTCGGGAGCTAGGATACCCTGCAGGTCCCGGTCATTTGCAGTCTACGGTTAGGTGATTGGTACCTTCTAAATAGCCCGCAGGGAGCGTTGATAGAAAGCACCCACCCGAAGACACAGCAAGTGGCCTCCGCAAAGTCTTGATTGGGATACTATATATATATTACAAGTACGGCCCCCTTCGTCATGCTGGTTACTCAGATCGAAATGGCCTTCGTTGAGAGCCATCCCGCCAATTCCAGCGTCTTGCACGGAATGACCACGTGTTGCTGCACTTCCCGGTCTCTGTCGCTGTACTACCTGGCCAGACAGGCAGGCTTACTGCATCTTTTAGAGATTTACTACGCAAGTCCATACTGTTTGACACGTCCGCTGTCTCTGCTGGTCTGCCATCATATAGATAGTCAGGGTGGGAGCATCGCGAATCGGGCGGAGAGAGGGGAAGAGCACCGGCCTACTTTACGACTGGGAGACATTCTGTGAGGAGATCTCTGCGCGTAGAGATTTGCTAGACACTCGGCGGGATGCACGGAACAGTCACCTCTGGCAAGCACTGAACTTTTGTCCGTACCCGAGTGGTGGTTGTGGTTGTGGTTGTATGCTAAACTAGACCGAGATGGCCTTACATACCGTAGACTCGACATATCGAGCCTTATGCGATATCACCCACGGCCCGTCTGGAACCCACTCAGCAAGAACGAGTAGTGTTTGGCCAGAGTGCCTGATCAGTATATAGAAGGGGAATCGGTCTCCATCTAATCAGAGGTATTGACGAAGAAACCTCCCCTTCTGGCCTCGGCCTCGATGGGCTCACAAGGTATCGAAATAGAAAGAGTATAGCGAAGATGACGCAGGCTCTTTCGCTATCACTTGGCTCTTTGATAGATGCCAAATGACATCAAGTCACAAATTTTTTAATGTTCAGGCTAGCGTTGTGTGCCTGCTTCTCATTGTATGTAGCTTCGTCGCCCGCACATCGCTTCGTTACCTGTTGTGATGGAGTTCCGTTCCATCTTTATGTACTCCTGCTGAATACAACGCGATTAAACATTCATAGAATTATGAGACGATAATCCGCCGTGGACATCTCTCAGGGCCTTGATTGATAGTGATTGTAAAGCGTTGGTCGCCGATTGGAGTCGCGTTAAGAGGATCGATATTTATGAGAAGGGCTTCTTCTCCGATCACGATGCATCAACAGAGGCAGAGCGCGAGATACTCTGGCAGCCATTCGAGCATGCTAGCAACGGACGAAAGAAAGGTGAGAAATCTCCGATATCGAAAAAAGTCAGCTGCTCGAGAAACAAACCCGAACCCGAAGCCTCGGTTGACCCGGGTTGACGCGTACGACAGAGCCTCATGTAACCTGCACCAACATACCAGGAAAAGACGGAATGTGGGCAGTGAAGGGTTACAGCAGTCACATGCTTTTCAACGATCTTCACATAACATTACCTCTGTCACTTGTCACAAATCGGACCATCGCCCGATAGAGCCTTGCAGCTTATTTTCCAAGTATGCGGCCAAGAATACCATCAATTCTAGCCCGTATGGGGGAGTCGACACGAGAGAGATAGAGCGGCAAAATCTCTCCTCCCACAATGGATGGGACCCCACAGCTGCAATGTCTCGACCTTTGCTCACTTAGTACCTTTGTAGGAACACGCCAGTTTGTTTCCCTAACGCCCGATGAAGCCGAATCCCGCCCAAAATCTTTGTTTTTTTCTTGGAAAGTGAAAACTCCATCCCTTTGCCCTACTGTTTTGTTTTGTCTCCTTCCCTAAAGGTATGATGAAAAGACATGGAAGCTGAAATAAGAAGAGAGAAAACATCAAATGAGGAAAAATGAAATGAAGAAAGCTATGTGATGTGGGTGATGAATGGGTCTTTGTCCAAGTTTCGTCCCGTCGTAAATTGAAAATGAAGAACAAATCGCAAGTTCTTTCTGCAGTTGGGAATCTTGCTGCTGCGATGCTTAAGGATGAATCAAAATTGATCTCTTATGCTTTCATCCAGCTGTCCTCGATCGAAGTTTGAAATGAAGTCGTAAAGCGTACAAAAGGCCGTGTCGAAAACAAAGATGGAGGACTTCATTGCCGCGAAGTTGATGTCGGAAATTCATGAGAGGGTATGGTTTGCCGATGAGACACGGTCGTCTTGAGTGCGAAAAAAAAAACGTAAAAGGAAACATGCAGGGCCTGAATGAGTGCGTCCCTTTTCTTTGTGGGTCTTGAAGTGTATGAATGCCGGCTGCGAAATGCGTCGAATTCGAACATGGAGTGTTAGATCCTTGGATGCTGACAACAGAAAGCGCCGCATGCTTCCGCTTGTAGGGAGATGCATGGTTAGAAGGCGTTTCGGGAGTCGAAACGCGTAGTCGATAGAAGGTCATGCTGGACAGCTCAAAGGATGACGCATCGGTGACCGTCAGGACGTCTGCGCCTTCGGTGCTTCCGCTTTGCAAAACCCATGAGACCTGGGTTTTTCTCGTACTCGTGGTCTTCATCTTCATGAGCGGCTTGGTTTTGGAACTTCTCATCCTTCATGAGAAGCTGGCGACAAATGTCTATAAAAACGGCGTCGACGTTGGCTGATGACACTGATTAGCAAAGTCTCGTCTCAACACCCCGCTGTTGACTTACTTCGTGTCCTTGCGCTCGTTTCGTAGTAAGGCGCATCCCACATCTGAGAGCACGCAAAAGCCCTTTGTCTAGGTACGGACCGCTGCTCTTCCAAGTCGGCCTTATTGCCGACGATGACGATGGGAACATTGTCGTCGTCCTTGATGCGGGTAATTTCCTCTCGGAGCATCTCAATCTCGTTCATAGAGGACGATGAGGTGATGCTGAAGACCAGAATGAAGCCTTGGCCAGATTTCATGTAAAGGTCACGCATGGCAACTGTATCCATGGTCAGCTAGGGTGTCGGACAGAGTACGAAAAGTAGCTAACCAAACTGCTCTGTGCCCGCGGTGTCGAGGCTGGTTCATTGTTAGATGGATGGTCTCACGGCAGCTAGAATGTGCCTTCGTTACTCACATTTCCAAGACCACTTGCCGTCCCTGGAATGAATCGAGTCAGTGATTCGTCGCAATAAGTAGTACCCGCATAAGATTAACTCACATCAACCTGTAATTGTGTCCGGTAGGTGTCTTCAATTGTCGGGTCGTAACTCTCGATCCACTCATTGTGAACGAATTGAGCTTTTGCATTGGTTAGCGGTGCTGCACATTTGACACGAGCATTGCGCTACGCGATGCTGACCTGTTAAGCAACTCTTTCCAACACCTCCTAGATGCAAAGTTAGTGGGCTGCGCACGTGACAGGCGTATTTCTCAACAAGGACTCACCGGCACCCAGCACCACAACATGGAGCTCACGACTACGCATGATCAGCTTGCGATCCCTCTATCTCTTCCTTTACAAATTGGAAAGGCATCACGGCGGAGCATACCAGGACTGATGATGCCTGTTGTGGCGTGACATTGTGTCTATGCTGGCCAACCTGAAGCTGCGACTTTGTTGCTGTTGGTTGTGTGTATCGTTGCGGGAGAGATGTCTGAGCAGGGCAGCTCAATTCAGATGACAGAAATGTGCCGGGACGAATTGGTGTGTTGAGAAAAGCTTCAACAGCTGGTCGTCTTCCTTTGAGGAAGGGCCGCCGGGCTGAGTACTTCGCAATCGGCGCGTCATGCGGCAAGGGACGACAGCAAGGTTAAATAGATTGTCGGCGAGGCGGAGGGTTTGGTTTGGCGGAGAAGTGGTGAGGTCCGAAAGCCAGGTAGCGGAATCGAGGCTGCGGATTGCCGTGCAAATCACTCTATATCGGGAGTGGATGGGCGCGATTTCCAGAGGACGCAACAAGGTACCTGGAAGGGACGAAGGAGAATGGCGGGGGGGTCCGGATGCAATTGTAGTTGGAGCACAGGAGCGTCGAAGTTTGAAAGTCGGGGGCTCGGGTCATGGAGCTCTGGGTCTGGCCCGTCCGAATTGATTGGAAGAGTGGGGACCACAGGAGACCAAGGAGGGGTGCTTTTAAGGGGCCCGAGGGGAGGGGGGGGAAGTTGACGGGGAACGGGGGACGAGCAGGGGAATGGAAAAATGCAAAAGCAGACTGGCTGACTGGCTGGATGCAGAGAGAGAGAGAGAAAGAGAGAGAGAGGGAAGAGGGGAAGGCGAGAATAGAAGTAATGGGAGACAGGATGTGAGAGAGAGAGAAAGGAGACGAGGGATATGGAAATCCTGAAAGTGTCAAAGACCAAGGAAAACAAGAATGGGAGAGTAAAAGAAGAAGAAACAGACGACCGACGAGCCAGGTCAGGACAAAAAAAGAAGCGTCAAAGTTCCCAACCAGCTCTCATCCTCTCACACTCCGGCTACCCAATTAAAAACAAATAAAGGGTGTTGGTGCAGCAGTTTTTGGTTGTTCTGTCGTCTGCAAGGGCCTCTCGCCAGCCAGCTGCGCTAAGCTGAGGGGAGGGTAGCTAAGGCAGGGTAGGTTAGGTGAGAGGTACCTTGCTGGGGGGTACTTGGTGACCTGGGCGTCTGGAGGATCCCAACCGTACTTTAAGCAACTCCGTTACGGCAGTCTGCCCTGCTGTTGGCGCCCTGCGGACGAATCTGGTGAGATAAAGTCGGGCAGTCGGGTCGGGCAAGGTAGCTGGACGAGGTTACGACCGGGTACGTACAGCCTCCAGGCAAAGCGCAGTCGGAGCTGAACCAAAGGACAAGAGTGAAAGGGAGAAGAAGGTTTATGGAGGCTGTATGCCTGAAGGTGTCAGTACGAATACTGAGCTGCACGAAAGGGCCAGTTGCAGTACAGAGGACGGTCTCCGGTTGGAGAGGGTGGGGAGATCTAGAAGCAGACAAAAGGCAAGGGAGGGCAGTACTGGTCAATCGTCGTCGATCGCTGTTGCAGCTTTGCCGTGCGATGAACAATAGACGGCCCCCAGAGGGCTGAGGAGCTTAGGTTGATGGCTGGCTGATGGTATGGTTCGATAACTCTGGTCAACTAAGGTTATTTCCGCTTGCCGGTTGCCGAAATGGATGACATTGGCCACTGGACGTGGGCACTTGGAGAAAAGAGCGAATCTAGCTCAGTTTAGAGTGACTTCAGCACCCCAAGCAGGAGAAGAAACTCTGCCCAGGTCGCACTCAATGTTGAATCGCAGACAGGGCAGCAATAAGACAGAGAGACGTCGATGAGATGTGTGGTGGAATTGGATGTGGTTGCACGCTGGAAGACACAGCCGCCGGGTGACAAACCGTTCTTGACCAGGGTGTCTAGTCGAGCGAGAAAGCCTGGGAAGTCAAACGACTAGCCAGAGGTAAGAAGCGAGTTGTGGCGAGTAGAAAGACAGGACGCAATGGAGGTGACGCGAGTAGGCAAGATGCGTGACGGGACGCGATGCGATGCGAGGTGGGTGATGTGACTGATGACTGGCAGATGGATGGGCGAGTGAAGACGGAGAGAGGCTTTGCCAGGCCAGTTGAAGCTGACGACTAGTCAATTCAACGGGTCGACGGGAGGGGACCATGCAAGACAACCGGAGAATCAGATTTTACCGCCAACCCAAAGGTGAGAATTGGCTGTGCTTTGTGAGATTACAAACAGGAAAAGTAGACGTTGGGCTGCAGTACTTACTGTACCCTTGGAGAGAATTCCCATGTACTACGTTGGCTACGGAGTAGAGGACGATGGGTGACGGATGGCGAGAAAAAGAAGCATGTGGAATTGTCTCACAAATTGGAAGCCTCCTGTCTCGAAATAACGGAGAGGCTGACACTACTGTCGGACGCTTGCATGGTAGCTTCAACGTCGTCGCTATTTAGGGCAGAGAGCCGGGGACGGAGCTTTGATGACTTTGTCGCAGGGCTTCAAAGGAAGGGGTTTTAGCTGAAGTCGAGGTTGGCGGTCATCATTGGCGTGTTACAGTATAGGAGTTTGGTGTGGTGGTGTACGGAGTAGTGCTTGAGCGTCATGTTGATCCGGGGGCCACCGACCGGACAACGTTGATTAACTTAGTGTATGATGCGTACCAAGTACATGGTGGTGAGATAGTGACCGAGGTCGGGAGCGATCCCGTTGCTTCGCGTCGTCTAACTTTTGGAGAGTCTTCTTGGATGGATGTCCCCCATCGCCTCCAGTCTTTGCCGTCTTCCTTCTTTCCTGAAATGGAACTGTGCCCTTTTGGTGTGAGGCACAGCAGCGCGAGGCAAGATCCAATGGGTGTCGAAGTAGTCGAGGTAGGGTTCCAATTGGGTCCCCCGGCAAGCGACACCTTGCCATGGCAATGATTGGGTGAGGCGGCGTGGCATCCCGCTCACACGGCGACGGCGGCGGGGATTATTGAGGAAGGTCCTGAGGATGAGGTGCTTGCTGACCTCTTGCCTCTGGACTCTGGCTTGTTCTTTTCGCGGAGGCGGAGGCGGGAAAAGAGGATGCGATGCCGTGCCGTCTCTTGGCTGCCTTTTTGACCGAGGCCGACGGGATCCAAGTAGAGTGGTGTTTGGCTCAAGTAAGGTATTAATGCCTGTGTTGGCAGGGAGCACGAAGTAGTAGGTGCCTTATTCGTGTGACCGGCATCCAGCCCAGCAAGTCATGGCTGAAGTCATAGGCAAAGTAGACATGACACTCTAGTACAGGATACGTCTTTAGATCGTCAGTAGGCTGGATACTACAGAATAGAGGGTAAGGTGGTCTGTACTCCGTACGTATGCGTATCTGTATGCGAAAGGTACTTAGTGCGTACGATAGCAGTCCGTAAAGCAACCTCGTTTCGGCCGGCACTTTTGAGCTGTTGACAGGCTCAGAGTCCGTGGGTTCAGCGTGGGAACGGGTCTCTGCCCCAATGTAGCTGAGTCAGGGTTTGTCTGCCGTTTAGCCAGAGCAGGTGTCCAGTTGGGTGCAGCGCGCACGAACATAGCTCCTGCATAGGTGGGACTCTCCAGTCTTGTCCCACCCATCCCATGTGGTGAGGTTCCTCTCTTCCCATGTGTCTCCAGGGCTAAGGGAATGGAGGAGGGGGCGACGCCGCGACGCCGCAAAGGAAGTGTCATGGTGCGTAGGCAGTACGGAGCATTCGTACCTTTCCATTGAGGCTTGGTCGAGTCGGGCAGTTTGTGTGGGCTCTAGTCCTGGATAGTCGCCGGGGCTCTCTCGTGAGCAAGCAAGGCCTTGGCCCATGGCGGCCATGCGCAGACGGGCTCTCGAGCCCCCTCAGAGCGGGCAGTGTGGAGGAATGTTCCTACTCGGTCGGTACACGTGTAGTTGACAGGAGGTGTGGTGGCCTGGTCGTGTGGTGCAGCGGTGCTGTGGATTTCAGGTCGCAGTGGATTGCCGAGAAGGCATGTTTTAGCGTGCTCCGTGATGTTTCTGGTTCTGCTTCCATCCCATGTTCCCCTGTTGGTTCGTTCCGCGGATGGAGTCGTGCTTGAGGTGGTGCTGCAAGCTGCGTGCTGCATAGGAGACAGTGGGCACTGAGCAGTGAGAGCGCAGGTGGACAGCTGCAGGTGCAAGAGCAAAGATGCAGATGGATGCTTGCCCTATTGCTTACCTTTGAACGAGGCTTGACTCTTGGGGGACTGTTTTTTGCTCGGTACCTATCCATGGATGCGTTTGGAGTACGAGGTACTTGGACGTGGTGTCTTGGCTCTTGAGGCAGAGAAAGAAGAATCAACTCGTGGTTTATCCCCCGAGCCCCCACCTCACTTTTTCTTCCCTCACCAACACCTTCCCGAGTTTCTCACTGTGACTGAGGCAGGTGCGCGATCCCCCGGCTCCAACATGGAAGGGACATGGAGATATGCGGCTGCCGTTCTTTCCTTCCCCTTTTCTTTGCGCCCTTTTTTTTCCTTTCCCATGCCGCGCCATGCCTTCCCTGCTGTTTTTCGCGGCATACCTTAAGGTAAGGTAGGAACCACATTGGCACATTGGCACATTGTGCGGCGTGCCTGCCATCATTCATCATCCATGCCTTCCTGCTTCCAACTACACTCTGTCACCCCTCATTCCTTCCTACCTTAGGTACCTTAAGGTAACCTGGTAGCTTCTCGAGCTTTCTCACCTCAAGTTGTGGATACTCCATGAATACATCAGATCCCATCTCGACGGCCCGAGTTCATGTAGTACAGTAGTAGTCACTACGTCATAGACTTAACTAACTTACCATTTCATCACTTCAGGGTAGGTAGGTGACCATGTCTAATTTGTAATTGCGCCTGCTTCTCTCAATCACGATGCTGCTTCACTTCTATCTCATGCCACTATTTACAATTCAATGCCTTGTCCCAGGACTTCATCAGAGACTCCCGGTTTGCTACAAGCATCGATTGAGTTGAGGAAGCACATCAGAAGTAAGGCAAATCTCTCCACCCAATGCCTCTCGTTCCCCACAGCTGTGAGCTTTTCAACTACCCATGGAACTTCAAACTTTGACTTTGCCTGCACAGAGTATCACACAGCTTCAACCACCTTAGCTCTTACTGCTTGCTCCTTCCTCGATGCTGCAAGGCTGTCATCCTGGTAAGATAGCTAAGCACTGTGTAGGCCACGCCGCGACGGGCCCGGCGTTGGAACTTGAACCAAGTTCCCAACCTCAACTGTGTGCTCCTTAAGGTAGGCTCCAAGACAACACCATATAGCATCGCCGCACTCTAGCACTCGGCTCCATGCAGGTGCCATCATCCATGCCATGAAGAGAATCCATCCTCCGACGTACGGAGTACGGCCTGCATCGGTGCCAGTCTCCCAGTCTCTGTACCTTGCCTTAGACTCTGATTGATTTTTATCTCTCAACCCTTCTAGACGCATCCACTCTGCCCACCTTGTCTCGACTTCTCCTGCATTGCGGCCTGTCCCTGTCAACCAAGGGCAAGCCACTATGCACTTCATCGAGAAGAATCGTCTTCCATCTACTAGCCTTTTGGTCTACATCCGCGCAAGCAATGAGGGGTTATTCCGATAGCCCTACTCTTCCATTTTAACAAAGCTTCATAGCCAAGCAACCGAGGATGTCTTGCCGAACCATCCGCCACAGCCCTCCTACCAACGATCCAGTCACCAGAGACTCTACAATCTCAACTACTCCGTAGTACAGGCTTTACGCGGTCTCTCGGCACCAGAGAGCTTCAAATAAAGTGTAAGCAAAGGGCCACCAACGATCTGCGGGTTGGATACGGCCATCGACCGAGGCCCGGAGCCGAGACACTGACGCAGGGACGCTGTTCGCCAGCTAACCTCTACGTCTAGCCATTGCAACGTCGTAGCCGTTGCTAAAATTCTGCTTCCATGACAGCCAACCATCCTAGTGCCTCGTCCTGGATATACGCGGTCGATTACCTGCCTCGCTTGAGCCTATCCGAGGCAAATCGATACCGCTCCGGAAATACTTCAGATTATAGACAGCTCAAGCTCGGTCGTTACTTCGCCAATCATGACGTCCAATTCCTCGCCTCACCCATCACCTCGGTTCGCGAGGGTATAGAGAAATTTTTTCTTCCCTCCTCAAATAGCCTGATTTCGACCAGTGACGACCGAGCATGCGCCCCTGCGTCTTGTACCTGAGAACCGACTGGTGGGATTCCGGGGTCCCCAGGATGGGTGCTAGCCGCAGATGCGAGTGTACGAATAGACACTTCGATGCGAGCGCGCCCCTCCCGTTCAAATTCGAGTTCCTGTTCCCGTCACAGCCAAGCACACCACTGCGCGTGGCGGACTCGTCCCATGACGACGAAGGTGAGCTCGAAAAACCGAACTCTGGTGCCTCATCTGGTTCTCAGCCCCTTCCCTGTCGTTCTGTTGACGTTGCATCCGACTTGATCTCCTAGTTTGGTAGCTGACCCGAATCCGGAATGTGTGACTGGTAACTCGATGCAGCGACCGATCGTCAACCATGCCCTCGGGCCGTGTCGTTGTCGTCAAAACGTCACTCCCGCTGGCCATGGTCGCCCAGATCGCCAGCTCCTATCCGTACGGACCTTGTACACTTAGTCAAACCAGATATTGTTAGCCACAAGGATCATTCCTATCTATCCCCTCCCCATCTCCGAGTTGGCGGCTTCTGAAGAACAGCTCTTGCTCAAATCGGAGAACCGGTCTGCTGGGTTCCATACTAAAAAGGTGACGTCTAGGCCCTGGTCTATTCCACCTCTCTGATATGAGCTGTCAACTTGGCTCCCTGGAATCTTCCCTGCTCTATCCCCCGTCTCGGTCATTGCAGTATTGTCTATGGAGCACATCCAGCGACACTGGTACGATTATCGTCGGCCTGAATGTTCTCAGTAACGGCCCCGAGAGCTTCGTGGAAATATAGCAACAAGTCACACCCATCAAAAGGTCCTTACAAAGTTGGAAAGGTACGGATAGACGAGGAAACTCTTTAGACCTATGGACAGAGGCGCCCAGACCACATCTCCGCCATCTCACCTTCCCACGTGGCCAAGATGAGATGGACTGTACCATCATCACGCTAACCAGTCGTGTCAGTCCACCTTTGAGTTTCAGGCAGGAACTCTAAATCTTCTGGCTCCTGAATCGTCCAAGCCTGCCACGACCGAGTCAATGCGACCAGTACTTAGGCCGTGAGCAATCACGGTTGCTACTAAATGTTCGGCCCCCAAGTCTATGCTCCAACATCCTGGGACTTCATTTCGAGATTGATGCGGTACTTTCATCATTTCAACGGATAATCTTGAATGCCCGACGGCATCTCTCGATAGCATGATTTTGCCCAGTCTCTGATGCCTGAGCAAGAGATTGAGGCACCCTGACTGCCTTGCTCATCGAGGGATATTCTATCTATTTGACTTGGACTTTGATTTCACAAAAAATCGTGACTTGAGACGCAGCAAGCACAAGCCCGGTCAAGGAAATGCCAAGCCAGCCATCCCATGGATTTCAGCGACAAAAATGCGGAGGATCTACACCTGCATGTGCAACATGAACACATCATCTGCTCGTTGACGGGATCCCCAGGCAAACACACTTTACAATGCCCAACTTTCGAATTCGTCGAGTGCTCACCGAGCTCGCTGCTGCCATACTACGCCACACTACCAATGTAACTAACTGTATTGGGCCTTTCGACCTCAATGCAGTGGGATTTCGCCGCTCCATAGCTCCGAATGCGAGAACCAAGCGGTCAAGAAGTCGCCTCAAGGCCAGTTGAAGGTAGAGCAAACCGACCCACTGCATGTTTTCACGTGTTCGGGAGGCGTGGAACTTTAGACGAGCACCTCTGTCAGTTGGCGTCTCAGGCCGAGTACGAGGTCAGAGCTATCATGAACGGCAGATGTCCTTATAGACTGCACTCAGGACACGAGGCCTCGATAGGCAGTCAGGCACACGACTTGGAAGCCATTGCCGTGTCACCTTCTCGTCTGTCCGAAAACACCATGGATGGCCTGCATGGCTCATTGACTTGACTGGAGAAACTTTCCGAAGAAGCAGGGAGCCAGTTGTTTGTACGACTGGCATGCACGGCACACGCTCTACATCCGCAAGCTCCTCGATACGTTGCCGTCAGTGTGTCCGATCTCCTAATGGGCCAGTCTATTATCGTCTAATAGAATGCGGCTCACACGTGCCCTTTCTTCCCGTACCCCACGCCGGAGCTGCATGCAGCTCGTCATCATGGTCGGACTTTAGCCAGCTTTCGGGGAATATTGCGAAAATCGACGAAGGCAGCGTGGGGGGCTGACATGGTCGAGGAGCAAAGTTGTCTGGATATTCGGCACCATTCAAGATGTCGTCTTATCAGCCCGGGCAACTACCAAGACGAAAAAAAAAAATCCAGACCACTTTACTACCTTCCCCGAACGGTCTGGTCGATTTTCTGCATCACGATTGTCACTATCATCAGCTTTGGAGGTTGCAGTGCCCCCCAACTGTGCCCTGCCTGCCTCCTCCTAGCCAGACGATGGGGTCGGCAACGAAACATGTCAATCACATTGCAGGTACCTTGCTCAAGCGAGACCACAACCATGATCCTAGAATATCAATTCGGTGGACGACGGGAGTTTCTTTGACAAGACATCGGGCCGGTACTGATGGGGCCTGCATCGAACGACCCACCACAGCCGGCATGAACCAGACTTTCTGCAGCAGCCTACTTTTAGGGCTCCGCTGCCACAACCAAGCGGGTCCCGCCGTTCACCGCACACATTCCAAAGCCAGAATTCATAAAGCTCCATTCCGCCGCTCGTCTTCAACAATAACTGGTCTGGTGGTGTAGTTGGTTATCACGTCAGTCTAACAGATTTCGAGGTCTCCTCGAAACTGAGCACACTGAAGGTCTCCGGTTCAAGTCCGGGCTAGATCATCCAATGGGCGATTGGTTTAGTGGTATAATGACCGCTTAGCATGCGGTAGGTCCTGGGTTCGATTCCCAGATCGTCCAGTCTTTTGCTCGTTGTGGTGATTAAATGATTGTGAACTCTTTGTTTTGTCCTCCACTTGGATTCTGATGGGGTTTCTACCTTTTGAGAAAGACTAGGGGAGTTGGGAAAGTCAAAGTCTGATATAGGAGCTGTTAGACTCCTCTACATGCATATGTCTTTGGCAGAGTAGAATCTGTGAGTCGTCGATACTGAGGTTGTGGTATAGAAATGCCGGTTCCATGGTAGGTACCTAGGTATGGGCCAGGTGAAGGAAGGTTGTCCTTGAGATTACATCTTGGACCTTGTCCGTTAAGACTTGATTATGATACAACGCACAATGCGAGCTCTGCCATTCTTTTGTAAAGTGTATTGGGAGCTTCAGAGACCAGGCACGAAACAGCTCATTCGATGGGTGGAGACCAGCAAGGCTCTGTGGACGGGAAGCTTGGTGAGGTATCGGATTAGCTCGGTGGGCTCAAGACATGGGGAATGGATGGTGCAACAATGGTAGAGAACATATGTTCATGCTGCTGATGATCAGTGACGAAGGCTGTTGATATAACAAAAGAGGTCGGGACCTTGCTATAAGATGACTACAGGATCGCGGGAACACCTGAACGTTTCGTTTATTGGAATTCGTTTGTTTCAGATCTTAGTCCCTCAGGCCCTTGTGACTACCTACAATATGAGTATGCTAATGATGGCTCTCTCATCTCCGTCCGCTATCTAGGTCTCTGATCTATGTCCTGCCTGGCCTCTTTCTCGTCCAGCTCGCCATCAACAAAGGGTTCGAGTTTGACGCCGTGACAGCCGTTTACGTGACATCTTTTACCTGCTCTGTGGTCCCATGTTTTTAGGGCTCTGCCTGTATGGACCGGGAACAGGATTACCAACTGCGTAATGGCGCTGAGTCTGCCCATTCAAATGTGTCTAGTTCACTTAGACATACACAGTTGAGCTTGGGTAGCTTTAATAAACGGATGTCAAAGTAGGGATGTGATCTTCGCCCGTTGTCTTTTCAAGCGGCGGCTGTTGCTGTATATCAACTTCTATCCCGAAATCTATGTCATTTCGAAAGCCTAAATGTGGGTTGATTGCCATCTGCCCACATCTCCAAGTGCTTTAACGTGCATCCGGGTGGGAATAGTTTGAATTGATCTAGAAGCTGTTGCCATAAGAGAGGTATCTCCTGGCTTTCAAACAGGAACCCGCCAACTTGGTTTTCGACTTGATGTTGCGCGGAGCTCAATGTTTGCCAGCCCGCGGTTCAAGAGGTCAGCCAAAGAGGCTTAATGAAACAACACCGTGTCCAATATTTCAGCATGAGGGAGGAATATAGAGGGGGTAGAGCACGTCTTTCTGGTGAGAAGCCACCGAAACGTCTCAACCCCCATGAGGCTATATCAACCTCCTCAAGCTGATCAGCTCTCTTCCACTCCACGCGTGGTCATGGCCATAGATGTGGAAGCTCAGGAATATTGGCCGTTTTGCTCAGCACAGGGCCCGTCGCTTCGGGTAAGTTCCTATCGCTGTCGATCTGGGGCTATTACATAGTGGATAGACAGAGTGACATATCACAACAGAGGCCGTCGTCCTTGGTATGTTTCAGAGGGAACATGCAGGGAGGCGTGAGGTAGATTGAGATAGGACAATTGTAATCATAGTTATTTTGGATTCGACTGTTGTTGCTCTGAAGACCTCAAATGATACGAAATGGTCCTAGTTCAATAGACACACAAGCTTTGAGATACAGGATGCCACTACATTGAGATCACCCGAGTCTGTCATTGTAAAAATCTCAAACCATAAGAGATCCTGTGCTCCTACGAGGTCGCACTCGTCTTGGGCCCTTGCTGCTAGGTAGGACACATTCGTGAAGGGGGGGATATCTACATGATCAAGGTTGAAGGTTTACTTGTGTCATCAAATGGAGGAGCTTTTGGTAGAGAGTAAGAAGACATGTCGATCTTCTCTTATCTTTTTCAACTTCGTGTACTACTTCGAGAATTTCTCCAACATGCCCTGTATTACTGCGGCAATTCGTCCAACGGCTTCCCACGCATGCTGGCTAGTTTGTTTATAGTTCTCGGTGTTGTTAGTTCTCATAATTTATAAGAGAACAGGAACGGGGCGCGAAGGGAGGCACATATTGAGACTGGATCCGCGTATTCGTGCTCTCAAAGGATTAAAGGTCCCTTTTGTAAGACTTGAATGAGACATAGATGGACAGTCACACTTGAGTGAATAGGACAATTTCAAGTTTAGACCAGGGATCAAGTTTTTGGTCCCAGTGCTATAATGGAACAGCGCTCAGCGTTTGTAATAATTCAAGTGTAGGTTTGGAAGGACGTTGGAAACGAGTCGGAGGCCACTATAAGTTCTGAAGTACCTCCTGAGATTATTCTGAGCTGCAAGCAACAACAGCCTACTCGACGAATGAGTTGGCATAAAAAACTTCCAAGCTTGATACTTAATTGGGGGATATTTCAGGCTAGAACTCGATGGCGGACGTCTGTCCTTGGCATGAGGTGGGTAGAGGATTAGGCTAAGTGAGCGGGCAAACCTGCGGTAGGTCATACGCTCAAGATAGTCCAGATTCATCCAAGTCTCGGTACAATTTTATCCACTTCTCGGTAGACCTCACGAAAGCTCGAGTGGCCTCTAACGCTCTTGGTTGCCTTACGGGGGCTTGAGCCTGAGTTACTTATGAGTCAATGGAGCCGCGAGCTTCGAGCTTTACAACACCAGACAACCCCTCCGTACCAGATACCTTCTCTCTCAAATGGCCCTTTTCAGTCTGAAAGGCTCCTCAACTTACACGAGATGACTCCGTTCCTCATCATGCAGAACATCTTGCCGTCACTACCCTACGCACAGTAGAAATCTCTTAGTCACAAGATTTCGGACCGAAATTCTTAATCAGGATGAAACCAAGCCCGATGCTTTCCGCTTAGCCCCATGCTCCAGGATCTGATACAAGATATCTCCTTATAGAGATCTGCCGTGGCACCCCAATTGTCCCAGCTGATCAAGCCGTGTCATATCAGGCTTCAGCCCCATTTCAAACGAAGATACCGAAAAACGTCTCACGGCGTGACAACAAGTCATCTCCACGCCTTCCAGCTATCAGGTTACACCACGGCGAAAATCATGCCCGCTTACAAGCTTTGTCCGACGCACTGCGGAGGCGTGGCAATCAGAGTGGTGGTCGCACGACGGTGGTCGGGGCCCGCACCGGTGGAGGCTAGCCCACACCGGCCCCGCTCATCGGCCCCGGGCCCGGATCGCCGAGAGATGGGCGCGCACAGTGGCTTGTTGGGTGCCTTCCCTCCTGATCGTCGCCCAGAACACAGGCAAGATGAGATGAGGGCAAGAAGCTTCTCTACCTTTGGCAGAAGGTCCAGACCGGTCGCCGCCACCTCCGCGTTCCCTCCTACCACGACACCCTCCAAGCCGTTTTACCTTAAGCGAACCAAACGTTGGAAGTCGCTAGAGGTGAGAGCGTCCACACGACCACGCCAATATCATCCTTTCCCTTTCCCATTCTTCAACGGCCTCCTCGTCAACCATGCCCTTTCAAGCAACTTGCAGATGACAGATTCACCATTCAACTCCGAAAATCGAATAACTGACAGAGATTGCTCCACTATGTATTCACAACGTGACAGTTTCCTCCCTCCCTCCAGGCACCTCTCACCCATCTTCACCCCCCTTGCCACTTCATCCTGCCTTAGCGGCCGGGCCTCGGTTCCAGCTTACCTACCTACACCCTTCTCAACCTCTACTACCGCCCCAACATATGCGCGCACGAAACAAACGTCGCCCTCTTGGCTTCTCGCTCGAAATCTCACTCACCTGCTCTCACCGGTCCCGTCCCGTCCCTAGACGCCGCCCCTCACCGGTGAAGCCCATCCCGCCAGCCACAGTCCGTCCTCGCCCGACTAACAGCTGGTCACCACCATCACCACTGCACCTAGATGACACGAATGCCACCCTTCCGCAAGACCCTTGGTACGATACTTGGCTCATCCAGCACGTCGACCAGAGCAAGTCGGAGGGGTCGTGTCGGGAGCGTTAGGGAGAAGAGCCGTCCCATTCCGCCGCGCCGTCGCTAGTCCTGGCGTTGGTTGCCTCTACTCCGTACCCATCCTTCGCAACGGTGTTTCCCACCTTTCCCCTTCTCCGCTTCATCTACACAGTACTTCTGACTGACTTCGTCTTGCACACCACACGATACAAGAAGAAAAAAAAAGAATCGACAACGTCGCTGTCACGCCCTCATTCGTCCGCAGTGTTTGCGTGCCACACCGGGGATAATTTGGCCTGGAACACGTCAGAACGGGCCAAGGTAGCGCGAGCGCGCCCGCGTCCCATGGCGTCTGTGCCGCAGGATAACAGATCCTGTAGGTTCCCATTCACAGACATGCACTCGCAGCCTGCTGTTGCGTCTTGCACTTTTCCCCATCCTGGGCTGCATTTGCTTATCGATGGGCAGTCTCTGCTTACTGGTACAGACATCGAGTTTCACTTTCAAGGCTGTCGCATGATTCGAAGCAAACCCCTCTATGACGATTCGACCTCTGATTCTGACTCCAACCTCCACACACCTTCTCCTCTCCCCCACGGAAAGCGTCTCTCGACATCTCGATATCCCGCGTAATTAGCAGAAGCTTTGCCACAGGGCCGTAGAAACATTGAGAACCTCGGTACGTGCAGTTGCCGGCATCCCGCGATCCCATCATCTCAATCCACCAAATTACCCACACGCGCGCGCGCCGGGAGGGTAAGCAAATAAGGTCCCAACATGGCGATGGTCCCAGACTTCCAGAGTCCACCCCCTTCATCTTCATCCCATCAACACCAACTTGCGACTACCACGCTTCAGGTTGGTGGTAGCCTCCACACCACCAACCAGACTTCTGGCGGCCAATGGCTGACAGCAGAAGGTAGAGCTCCATCCAATGAGCAAGTATGGCAGGCACCGCTACGTACATGTGCAGTGCACCCTTTCAAGAATGCTGGATCACCACCATCATCCCGAATTAATTCAACGTGGGCTGTCTCGGACGCCACGATCATCGCAAGCCATTTCCCGTGGATGGGTGCCGACCATAGAGCCGTCTTTTCAAGACACGCTTCTTCTGCAACCCTTACAAAATGCCATGCTGCGAGGGCTGGCATTGTCCTTGGGGCACTCGATGTACACGACGGATGCCCCTTTGCCAGAATCCTGCCAATGAGGAAGACATTGGACCGTATCGCGCGCAGACACCAAGTGTCTTGCCGCGAGACTGCAAACCTGACGGATGGAAAAGTGCTCGAAACTATGAATGCATTCAGACTGTGTCCCAACGGCGGTTTACGGGCTGCGAGGTCGTGCTCAATCGCGCGACTCCTCGGACGTATGCGCCCTCAACCCCCCCGCCTAAGCCAAAAGTCTCGGAGGCAGCTCCGGTATCCGGCTATGCCTCGCTGCATAGGGCCGGACAATCACACCACCATGACCGCCTCGGTTGACAGCGATTTCTTGCCAAGTTTACTGCTGCTTAACGAAAAAAATATCTGCCGTATCCAAATAACGTCGCAGACGTAATACCAGCAAGCCCTCCCTTCCCCCAAATTGCTATACTGCGTGACTGCGTAGAAGAGCTTGACAAGGACTGGGGTTCCACCCTTCTGCCGAAGTTTTGACTCTATTCACGTGGATCGACTGGGGTCCAAAGTGGCGCATCCTTCTTCCTCTTCTCTCCCCGCCTCGCGCCTCGGTGCTCTTTGTCAATGCCCTTTGCCCCTTTACACCGAAGCTCGGCATATTCCCACCGCCCGGCTTCTCATCGTGGGTATGGTACTGAAGCGCAATGCCCTCTGCCTCTCCGTACAGTCATCAGTGTACAAACCGGAAGTAAATGACATTCGGCCCCACAAGGCTCTGGAGAAAACCCCCCCCAGTCTCCGCCGACATTGTGACACCGGTCAGAGGTGGTTCGTGCCTGTCAATCAGCGGGGCTCATGATTGTCCACATGCCCACCGACCGTACCTGGCCACCGGGTCGCCCAAGATCGTCACTCACTTCAAGGTATCCCTAATCAACCAATCGAAAGTGGCAAGACAGGGCAGGTTTATATCATCAGCAAATCAAAAACTCCTTTCTTTGGCCTATGAGAATCCCATAAGGGGGTATGTTCGCTCCCACAATGTGCAAGTCAAAGTTCGATCCCAGTAAAGTGTGTAGGAAAAGGGGGGATAGATGGGGAACGAAACGGGCTGGGCAGTGGGAAAAAAAAATAACAAATCAGAGAGAAATTGAAATTCAAATGAAACATGACAATGCCCCTCGAGGGCCATAGCCTGGACTGGACAATCCTTCCCGGTTTCCTAACCCTAATTGTGTCCCGACCAAACCCATGGATGTGTGATGATGAGGTCCCTTCCGTCTTGATGCCGAACGATAACCCCGATGATGCTTATCCGTAAAGTTTGTGCGTAACAGCTTGATGCAGCCTGGCCTTCAGCCGTCCCATCCAGTGATGGACTTGACCCGAACCAGCGAGGATTTCTGATGTGACCAGAACGTGTCGCTGCCAGGTAGCTCTCCTATGCCCGCGGCGGTTCTCCCTTCTCCAGTGTCCGCCTTCTGGTGGAGCGTGCCTTTTATATCTCGTACATGCGTTGAGTGAAACAAACGAAAGACTTCTTCCTCTGAACTTCCATGCCGTATTTTTGTTTTGGTTGGCGGGTGCTGCGGGATCAACCGAAACCATTCGCGCTCTCTTCTGTGCTTTTGGGCGTTTTCTCTTTTGGGGTCAACTCATGCCATGCTCCCAAGACTCAATACAACGTTTCCTCCCCATCCATCAATCGCTAATCGCTGTGCCAGTAAATGTTCCATTCTTTCGCGAGAACCTCGAACCCGTTGCCCAAAATCGTCAGGACGCCTCGTGAAGGCATCGCCGAAAACGTCGAACCTAAGAACTCCATCCTTAAGTCGTTGGCGCTGGGTATTTGTTGTCCGAAGGGCATGAGACCAGATTCCCCCAAGTTCGTCTACCATAGTAAATGTCCGTTCCACGCGCCATGCTGAATGAAAATAAAGAAACCCAAACCAAAATGAATTGGTGAACGAAGGAAAGATAAGGCCGGAGGGAAGCCTCCACCGTACTACAGCCTGATACTCGAAGTCGTCGAGGGTTGAACGCCCACTGATGATGTGTTTCTGAACTTCGTTGAGAACATGGACGAAGTAGTCAAACATAACTCCAGTGCTGGTGACTGCGGGAGGCCAATGCAGTCAGGCCCGTCAGGGAAGAGCGAGTCAGAACCATGTGATATCGGGAAAAGAGGAAAAAACTCAAGTAACTGATGCCTGGAAAATCAGATGCCGATGTAAATGCGTATGCGCCGAGATCTTCACACAGCGCCGTCCTCGATGCTGTCCAAGTATCTTGTGGCTTTGCCTTGTTGCCGTGTATCCACACTTGAACACCGTAACGCCAGAACTCTCGCCATACTGCCTCTGGAAGTCAGACAGGCAACCTAACATAACTGCATGCCTTACCTGCCAAGCATGTGAGGTGGCAGGTAGTTTGAGTTGTTTCCATTCATCATGGAACCAGGCCCACCAGCAGTCATGGTATTGCTGTTGTACCCGTTCCACACGTTGTTATTACCGCTTGCTGGGAAGCCAGCAACTGCGTAAGGTGGTGTGCCCGAGGAGCCGTTACTGAATCGCCCAGAGCCAAGACCAGGTGGTGCTGAAAGTCCTGGAGGAGGACCGTTGGTGGTCTTGAACCCATTCGTGGAACCTGTCATCATGCCGCTCATTGGAGACGTTGATTGACCTGGAGTCTGACCCGACCTGACTCCCAAGGGGTTCTTCGAGAAGCTGAGGCGAATTCCGCCCTTTACGCTATTGTGAAGCGGATGTCCGTAGAGCTCATGGAGAGCTTTGGTAGCAAAGGAAACATCCTCGAACTCCACAAAACACATGGGCCCGTTCTGCTTGGTCCGGAAGCAAAGCCTCTTGTAGCCCCGTTGCTTGGAGAACATGGCCTTGAGCTCTTCCTCAGACGTGTCGATAGGAAGGTTGCCCACGTAGAGAGTGTTGCAAGGTGGATTCTGGTCAGCAGGGTTGACCGGGGGGAAGTTGTGGCGGCCGTAAGGACCAGTTCCCATATGGAAGGGTACAGTATGTGGCCCCCCGCCCATCACAGTGGGTGACATGACTGGGTGAGCCGACATCGCTGCCATTCCTTGCTGACCGTACTGCGGAAGCGACGATGGGCTTGGTGTTGTGCTGGTGGTGTTGAGGGACAGGCTCGCCAAACGCGATATGGGCAACTGTGGGGCGGTGGCTCTTCTCTGAGCCGTAGCTCCGTTTTCCGCGTAGGCGACTGGGTCCTTCAAGAGCTCGCCGGTCTCGTCATCATCAGCCGCATCATTGTTAATCAACGATTTCCCAGAGATGCGTGTCCGTTCTGTGAGGTGATTTCCGATAGGAGACTGAGGCGAGAACAGGTTCTGGTAGTGCGCGCTGGACTCTGGGTTGGGCAATTCGCTGGAGCCGTATATACCATTCATAGGTGGCGATATCTTTTCGAGAGATTGGAATCCGCCGTTGAATCGTGATGGTTGTCGCGAGGATGGGGCTGAAGAGGCCGCGGAGGATGCAGTGCTCGACGATCCGGTCCCTGCGGGTTCGGCGTACCTTCTCGACGTGGTTGGGCTGCCTCCGAGAATCTCGACAATCATATTGGCGTCGTTAGAAATGTTGGATTTCCCGTTTAGCATATTCTTTGTTTCGATTGCCCCATTCGTAGTCCGGAACTTCAGGACGGCCGAGCGGAATCCCTTGTCTTCTGATTGATCTACGGGGAGCACTTCAACGTCAACAAGCTCTTTGGACCAAACCACCATGAGTCGAAGCGATTCTTCCGAAGTGTTCAGCGGAAGGCGACGAATTAGAACAGAGGCCGCCACAGAAGACGGGTTGGCGTATGGCGTTCCGACAGGCATAGCCGCATCGCGCTCAAAGGGGTTGACGGACGAGAGGAACGGTGCCTGGGTGTTGGAGGGCCTGAAAGGTTGCGATTGTTGTAGAAAAGCCGGCGCAGCCATGGCAGTGGTTTTTTGGGTGATAGATATTTGTCGTTGTTGATGTAGGAGGATTGTCGCGACTCGATGTCATCCCCGAAGGTCGAGTGCGGCTGATGAGACTGTAAATGCGCCTGGTTCACCTATGGTTGCTTGTCATCCGCCGGTGTTGCGGTGCATGCGCTGGCGCGTGGTGCCTTGGATTGCCTCGGAACTGCGGCAAAGAGAGGGAGGATTGCAACAGTCGCGCAGCTCAAGTGGGAACTCTTGGAAGCGCGTGCGAACAAGAATGCGGGAAATGGGCCAAGACGCGGTGAAATTATCGGGTGTTGGTGTCGATTTTCGAGTGCGCGACGGGAGGATACAGGGCGACGAAAGAATGTTGCAGAGAGCGATATCGAAAAGTTGGGGGGGTTGGACAGGTTTTGGGAGAAGGGGGGGAGAAGTTGGAGCGTGCGGGAGGAGTTGTCGCAAGGTTATGTATCGTGCCTTAAAGTTCGGGGAGGAGGAGAGAAATTGAGCAGGGTGGAAAGGTACCGGGAGGGAGTGGTGGCACTGATGGCAGACAAATGGATGCAAAGGCAAGGTGTGATGGTGGGAAGTGTGTGGTGGGCGAAGTATGAAGTGGTTAAAGTGAGAGACGGCCAGGAAGAATGGTGTGCGCGCCTTGATGGGTTGAGTTGAGTTGGGTTGAGTACGGCGCGGTGCGGTGCGTCAGGACAGCGGGTATGGATGGAAGAGGGAAGGGACGGGCTCCTGGCTGGCCTGCTTCGCTCCAAGAGCATGGGGGGACTCAGGGAAGCAGTGTAAATGCAGGGCTGGTTGCGTTCGACAGTCGGGTAGCCGTAGCTCTCTGGGAAAATGGGACGAGGTGACTGAGACTTGGGTACCGGCAAGTGGTAGGCACGCAGCAGATGACGGGCCAGAGCAGGTCGACTTGCCGGGGCCCCTCGAAGCTTGATGGTGACAGGTACCCAATAGGACTACACCCACGGGATGGGTTGACTCGATGATTAAAGTCGGAAAACGACTAAGCCAAACTCGACAGCACGACTACCGTGACGGGGGGTCCCTCTGGCGTTAGACTGCTTGGGTCCTGGTCGGCAGGACAGAAGAAGCTGGGGGCACAATTTTGTTTGTGAGCCTGCCTGCGCGAAGGTGAGAGAAGAGGGGTCGTAAAAGAAAAAGCGGGCGGAAGTGCGGAAAGATGTTGCAGGACGGCGTCAAGGTCGTCGGTTTATCGTGGGGTTTGGCGGCGCAAAGTATCGAGAAAAGGTGGCTTGTAGCCAAAGTCTGTTGGGCCTGTACCTAGGGGAACCCAGGGAATTCGCTTGATGATGGGAATCTGGCGATGTGGAGGGAGATGCGAAGTACTCCGTAGTGTTTTGGTACAGACGTGAAGTACCCGGCTAGTATCGAAAAGCCAGTGAAGCGGAAAGGCTGCAGCTGGGGCGCTGGGAGGGTGTGTGAAAGCAAACTCGGTCGGTCGCGGTGGCTGTTGGGCCTAGGGGCGTCGACGGTGGTTCCTCTCAAGGTGGTGGTTCTTGTTCGAACTCTTTTGGATTGTGGTCCAGTCCAGTCCACCACTCCAGTCGCGTTTGGACTTTCTGGACTTTACTCCTCAGAAAGTGGGAGTGGAAGGGATGGACAAGGGATGCTCGTGCTGTGGAGGTCTAATTGCGCTGCCGCTGGAGCACTCGGGAGGGACGTATCGTACCAATCAGAAGCCGATCGCGTAAGGTGGGAAAGCGTTTGGTGTGGGCTAAGGCAATGCTAAGGCACGACCTGGAAGTGTACTTTCTGTCTACTTTGCCTGGTGGGGAGGTGCAACCACCCTGACGAAGGTTCTGTGTAAGTGACTAGCCTGTCGCAGTCGTAGATGTTGTCGTCGTTGAGAGTGCGGTATTCGTACAGACAGGCAGCGATTGCGTTATGTTTGCCTCGCCCAGAGACACCTGTGAGTGGCAGTCGCCGACTCGACACTGATTCTTTAAAGAAAACGTTTGATATCAAGAGTAGTTGGCGAATTGCGTCGACGGCTTCTGCGCCTGTGCTTTTGCTGTGGCGCTCGTTGGGTGTGTGCGCAGCGAGTGAAGCTGGTCTGGTGGGATGGAGGGCGCCAGTGTCTGCTTTCCAGAGGGACTGGGAGCCGTGGGAGCAAGCCGCAGATGAGAAGCGGGAATAGGAGAAATGCTGAGGAGGAGGTACGTGTAGGCTGTCCTTTGGCAGCTAGGTTGGTGGTAAGTGTTGTGGAGGTTGCGTGCTCGTGGAGGTGTGTCTTTGATTGCCGTAGCAGCAGAGGCAGGTCGAGGTCGAGGTAATGGTATGGTAAGGTTGGGAAGCGATGGTGATGTAGGTCAAGGACTCTGGGTCGAGGTCGAGGAGACGCAGCTTCTGGACTCGGTGGATGTGGGAGACGGAATTAACCTGGAGGCTAGCGGGCGGGCGAACGAGCGAGAGAGACAAGAGAAGGGAGGCCCCTGCCGGTACGTCTTCCTGTTAGGCCGGTTTTCTTGGTGGCACAGCCTTTAGAGGGGATAACGGCGTCAGGAGAGTGTGCGGATTGGTCCAAGGTGGTAGTAGCGGTGCGACCGGGCTCAGGGGTCTTGTAGACTTTCGGCGATCGTTGGCACCGTTTGAGGGCTGGTGCTTGCCAGGAGGCGCGTGTGGTGGATGGTAGTGTCTCTCTTTCAGATATCGGCATGGGCTGTCGTCTGTCTCTTGTCTTGCCAGTCTGTCCGTCTGTGTCTTTGGGGGGCAGAACGGTACGGAGTAGAAGGGCTGCGCGTGTGTGCTATCGTCTGTGCGTGTGTGCGTGTAAAGTGCGCGTAAACTGGAAGTGCGTGTGTAACAACCGTGCGGGCCGAAGGTGTCTGGTTCTTTGTCTTTGTGCGAGGTGTGTATCTGTAACTGTGCGAGCCGGGAGTACGAGCGCGACATATGTCGACGTCTGCCAGAGGTAACGTCGAGGGACAGGAGGAGTAGTGATGGTGTAAATCGGGCGAAGAGAAAGGAAAGGAAGAGACTCGAGATACTACTGTGGATTTGCTGGTGACTTCAACAGTATCTGAATCTACCCGTACCCGGATTTTTTTCCCCGGTAAAGCGGTTCGGTCAAGTGGTTCGGTTGAGCGAGGAGAGAGACAAAAGTAAGGTGAAGAAACGACTGGGACGGGAATGTCCAAGGCAATGTAGGGGAGGTATGAGGGTTTAGGCACGGTGAGCAATAATGCGGAAGACGTAAGGTACCTTCCTTACGTTAGGAAACGGAATTGGGAATGAATCGGCCACTGTTGGACGGTCGCACTGTCGCACTGTCGCACTTTCCTTCAATGTTTCTTTCCCTCGACTCCTTCCTGCCTCCGCACTCACGAATACCTTCCTTCCTGCCTCTGAACACTGTCACTACCTAGGTAAGGTAGCTACGGATACCGTGTGCTCCTGCCCTGGGAGCATTCGTACCTGCCAGCACCACATAACCGCATGGTACCTTCCTTCCCTCGCCAATCTGAGTTGGACGTGGGAGGCAGCAACGACAGGGTGGGGTCGGCCTTTTCGAAACAGGAAAAGAAGGAACAACGCAGATTGCAGATTCACCTTTCCCTCCCTCCCTGCTCAACGTGCAGAACACTGGGAGGTTGAAGACCTACCTGCCCCGGTGACGGGAAGCACCTGTCACCAGGGAGCAAAATGCCCGTACCTTGGCCGATACCTGAATGGGAAGGGGGATGGGAATGGGAATAGAAAGGAAAGAACGAGCCGGCCAACATTGCACTGTACGAGAGTCATATCTGCAACACTGTTCACATGGAAGTGTCTCTCTTGCACGTTGCAACTCCATCTGCCTCCCTTCACGTCTCTATCCGTACTGCCATTACATACCTAGGTGGAATTCAAGCTTTGCGTGATGTGCCTTGCTTTACGGATACCTCGACTACCTACCTACGTACTTCGTCTGTTTCTTGTGAATCTTTTGTTTTGTCATCTTTTTTTTCTTTTCTTTTGGTATTATGCTTTTTGCTGTTTGCGTCAAGCAATAGTCAGAGAAGGAAGGGTTGTGGATGCACGTGTGGAAGATAAGGTAAAATTCGATCAACGGCATCCCCCCCCCCCCTCCCTTATAACCCCACGTTCTAATTGCACGACGACTGATACTTTGAAGGTACTCGATGCTCGATTCTCGATGCGCTTCGCTACCATGCAGATGCCGGCGCACGCATCACCAGAATTGTCCCTGAAGAACCAAATCAAATGATGAAGAAACCTCTCGAGTCCGCCGCACCAGGCCAGCATGGCCAGCTGCATCGTAAGCTGCCGCCGCTGAAACCTAGGAGGATCGAGAACGGGGTCATTGCATGGGGCTAGACAAGTGTGTGCCTCGCCCTCGACGCGCCTTTGCAACCGCTCGGGAGGACGGACTCAAATGTCGGGTGAAATACCTACGCAGTATTTTCTGCTGCGCGCACTCTGCCCCTCGCGCCTCGCGCCTCTTGCCTCTGACATGGACTTGTACGGCACCACGGATACCGCTACATCATACATCTGCCTCTGTTGTGCCTCTTTGCACGCCGAGGGTTGAACAGAGTCCTAGACAGCCACCATGACTCCAACAAATCTGTCGGCCCTGATCTACCACGCGAGACCACAGACCAGATGAGGCCATGTGCCCATCACGCCGGTCAGTTGGCGGAAACCAAACCAAGCTGCATAGAACATTAGCCTACTAACCCACTCACCTTGCCTTACCAGTCCGAACCCGGTACTCATACGTAGTGATACCCACCATTGTCGACAACAATTCCGTCCTAAAGTACCTACCGATACTTCGTGTGCTTATCCACCAGCCCAGCAGCATGGGGCAAGGAACACCGCATCCGCATCCGCGAAGCAAGGGACCCGACCAGACCCTCAAGCCCGTGCGGAACTGTGATAGCGTGGACCAGGACCTGGACATGGGCAGCTGTCCACACGGGGTATTCACTTCGTTTCTGTATCTGTAGGGCTCTCTACTCCCCCTCCAAGTGTCAACCTGCGCACAAGGCCAACAGCTTTTTGCGACGCAGACAGAAGATGGTGTCGACACCAGCCCTGTCACCTACCGGTACACTTCTTTTCGATGAAACCCCTTGGTACTGTCAACTGCATCGCTGCATCATGGGCCGTCATTGTGCGTTCGCCGTGAGGCACTCAAAATACCCTCCACATTGGTACATTTGTGGGGGGGAGCTGCCAGCTAGGGACCCGTAGGCCATGTCTGGCCAAGGTTGGAGGGTACGTGCACTTTCTCGCTCATGGTCCTCGGCGCCCGACTGCCAAGATCCTTGGAACCGCCGGTGATATTCGAATTGCCCTCACATCTGGTCATTCTTTCTGCCCCGACCCGTCAACGTTGTATAATTTGAGTTCTGGGGATTCGAGTCTGTGCCGCGCCTTAGACTCCAGACATCGTCAGCCCTCCTGCCGGTACTCAAAACATCCCTCACCCGTTCCCGCCTCACACATTCTGCATGCGCCGAGGCGCAAGCCTGCTGGTGCCGTCAAATGCAGATAATCAAACTTCTGTGGTGAGACCCCCCGAAACGCCTTATTAGCAGACCACACATATATCTGCAGGCAAGCTATATGGACGCACCCTTTGGTTCCAGGTCGATATGCAGTCAAAACTTTTGCGCCTCAACATATCGCTACGGTCAGAGTATACGTGAATGCAGCCCAGCCAGGAGTTTGAACGTGTGAATGTCAACTGCCAATCGCGATGCTGGCCGTCATGCCGTCGAGGCTGCCAGGTTGTCTTCTAAGCGTCCGCCAGGAGATGGATTCGAAGCCAATCCAAGTTGAAGGAGGCTATGGAAAGCATTTCTCTATCCATCAAACTTGAAGATGGAGAAATTGGTCTGAAACGCAAAGCAACGTGAAAGAGTTTATCTACAAGGTAATTGACAAGCTATGGGTAGTGTGGTTTCGATAAGGTATGACAGCGATGTAGAACCCCCCAGACCATGATTTCCTTCAAGCGCTGCGTTGAGCACCCTCTATTTTTCTCAGCCTGCAGATGGGGCCTGGGAATTGTGGCGTCATTCCCTCTTCCTTGGACATCTCTTTCGCTTTAGATTGCTGCGTTGAGTTTTGACAGAATGTCCCGGTACTGCTGGCTGACCGGTTCAAGTAGTCACCCACACCGACCATGGCCGGTCTCCCACGATGACGCTAAAGTGAGACTACGGCTGCCCATTGGATTGCCGAGCAAGCTCCGATTTTCCGGCTGTCAACACGATGCCACTCTTTTCTAAAACTCTCCGGCCCGGTGGTTGCCTCTGGATAGGCCGGGCGGATGAATGCAGTGGATCGGTCTTCGCCCCGAAGCAACTCGTCCAGTCTCGACTCCACCAACTATTCAAACATTGCTCCTCCCTGTGGCAGTGCGCCTATCATAGGGCACCTCCGAATCCTTGTTATCCTGCGTCTCTGCTTGTCGCTGATACACTCAAAGTCCGGAGATATTCAAAGAGAGCCCATCGTGTCGCAAGCACATGCTCTCAACTAGCCGATTACCTGCAGGCTGGTACAGGCACATCGTACATCTGAAGATAGAGAGACTTAATTCGGGTGCAAGTCGCAAGGTGCACGCACGTAAAGTCGGATTCCGCTCACTACTCTGGATCAAGTTGGTGGACTCTCACGTTCCCATTCTTGTTATACGACATTTTCAACCGGTTAATCCCCTCTGGCCTGGCAAACCTGACACGCCTGGGTAGTCAAATACAGTTTGTACGACAGGACTCTTCTTACCTAATGCAGACCTAGCCTCTCGCTTGCCAGCTCGTTTAAGAACGAAGCTATTCTCTGGACCGCGCTTATCCGTAGGGTCAGCACGGGGGAACAGGAATTGGGCGAGCTGTAGTACGAAGAATGCATCGCGACAACCTACCCTAATGAGATTCTTGCGTGAAGAGAAATTCTCCGACCAACACTGGAGGCCGATCCAATGACGTTCATCATTGTTTGTCGTTCCACTCTCATAAGGATGGCTAGACTGAGAGCGGTGGCTGCTATCATCATCTCGAGATATCGACTTTCTACAACACTCTTTAGCTTCCTCTGGCAGCTGCCTGCTCGCAGATTGGCGAGTATGACCAGCTCGTCAGTGTAAGTCTGCCTGGTGTGCTACCAACATACTCGATCGACTTCACCACACATTCTCACCACCATCAGAAGCGAGCAACCCATTAGCATGCGGCGCAACTTGAATTCTCTCACAGACATAAGTCATCAAACTCACGGATACAAGTCGTTACAACTGCAATGAGAGGTAGATGATGTGCTAGAGGTGCTCCCTAGCTTGATTGTTAGACCTTCCTCTCAGAAGCATCCAAAGCCACAGCTTCCTAATAACAACATGTTTCTCTGGGCTTCCTCCGGAAGCTTGCAGCACAGGCATCTACCGGTAATGTACAAGGACCTGATCACAATGCAGAGCCTTACTTTCTCGCCATCTTCCTTAGTAATATTCCGTGGTGTGTCTATAATACTTTACACAGTCACGCGTTTAGTGTTTGAGTCGTTTCCGTACCGCAGCCCAGTCGACGTCTGCGACCTAATGCTCTCTGACGCTGGCTTCTGGTTTGTCCCGTCATCCGCTCGCCATCCCATCAACAGCTTGAGAGACCAGCCCACCCCCCGATAAAGGGGACAACGAAGCTGCGTGGAATGTCAATTATTACCCAAAACAAAGCCGAGAGCCACCTCGCTTTCGCCCTTTCACGAGCTCAGAAAACAACCTAGGTCCAGGAATACTGGAATGATCATCAAGCTGGAGACACGAGGCTGAAGAGAGAACTCGGCACTGTGTGTGTTGGAAACGATCGCCATACCAAACGCTCAAGAAGTGAACTCACCCTCGGAAATAGATTCATGTCATCTTTACCGAGCCTCCTCCTCCGCCCTCCAGCATGTGCCGCTGTATATACCGACTCCTGGAGGGCCTCGAAATGCAGACCAGCAGTTCCGACATTGTAACGAAACAACAAAGGGCACCCATGCTTTCTTTGGTTAGTGAGGCACTCATCACTTTGAGTAGTGGCTGGCCGAAGTCACGTAGCGAGCATGAGCTCGCAAGAGAATCATTCTCCTCCCCGGCTTGGTGCGATTGCAGATACGGACGCAAACGACGATCAAAAGCATATCAGGGGCGGACTTGCTCTCCTGAATCACGGCATCCTCGAGACTGTCGACTTACCTCTTATCTTCGAAGTGGCCTGGAGGGGACTCACTCCGGAAGAATTCCCCTCCTTGAGGCTCATCTTGAACACCAATCCATCAGGCTGTGGTTACACAAGTGAACAGACTTCACTATTGACCAAGCGTAGGGAACGTTCGAGGAACTCCAGCCTTGCATAAGTTCGCCTTTTTTGCTTTCCCTCTCAACTTAGAGTTCAAGCGCCGCGAGTTTTGACCTGTCTCCCTGGCTGTTGCATTCGTCGCTTCGACAGAGGGTATTTGGCATTCTTAATTATAGTGAAATCGACGTTCTGCTGGACACGTTCGACCGAAGCGTGAGACGCCCTGGCCTTTTACAGGTAACTTTCGATATCGAATCTCCGCAAAAGTACCAAGTCCGAACGAATACTCAGGACAAGCCACTGCCCCATATACAGTAGCAGCCATTCTGGTATCTTGACGTTTCCTGAACGACCGTGTGCGTTCTTTGTTCGTCAGCCAACCGTTAGAAAGTTAGATCACGCACGGGAGAGACGACTTCCTGGAAGTAGAGTCTCATTGGCCGGCAACCCTGGAAAGTACCACTTGTCGTGCATGGGACTACTGTACGGATGCCATGGCCAGTCACTTCCGGATGCAGAATCCTGAAACTAGCAAGGAAGATGCACTGTTGGGACGAATTCAAGCGCTCAGCGTTTGGAGAGATTGGCCCAAACTTTGCTTCTCGCATGACACTGGGCAGAAGGCCCTGCCACTGGCTACAATCTTATGTCTTCAGAGTAACCCTCTTCCGGGTTATATTAGCGGCATGGGGGCTTTCGAGGAGAGCTTGGGAAGGATGGGAAACGTCCGTAAGCAAGCCCCAGTTTGACTCGGTAATTCGTAGACTCATGAACAGACACCAGGCTCTCACGGCTGCTTGAGGGTGGGTAGGCCTGCCAATCATGATGACTCTTCAGGTACCGAGCCTAACAGCGATGAGCTGTTGGCATGTGTCCAGCTCTGGCTGAACCAGCTACTATGACCTACACAACGTCGGGCCTGGGCCTTGGAGGCTCGGTCTGACATCTGTCACTTGTGAATGATCCGCAACGGCGCATCTCTATCCGCGTAGGTGTGCTCCCAAAGTGATGCCGAAGGCTGGCTACTGCCTCTACATCGCTGAGATGGACTCATTAATCTTGTGTCTCCTGAGATCTAGCTGAGGCAGCCTCGGTTCTCTCATAGGACGTAGTCGACCATCCCGTTGTCAAATCAGTAATGACTGAGGTAACAGTGAATGTCTGTGGCCGTTGTATCAGGTCGAGCTCAGTTTGCTGGGGAGATATCAAGATGCGATAGATTACGAATATCAGCTATGGTTGTCACAACAGCGACTCTTTCTCCGGCCTTCAACTCCAGATGCTGATGGTGCGAGATACCTACCTACTGCAAACAATGACGAACTATGAGCACGCTCATGAGGGGGTCCGATCAAGAAGAAGCGCTAGGATTGAATGATAGCGGGGTCGACTGGACTGAAAGCGGCCCAAGACGAAGAAATGGAGAGTCAGAACCACCCAACGGGGAGGGTGTCCGCCAGGAAGACTTCCGATACGATGGAGTCGCCTGTCCCACCGTTCACAAGAGGGAGGGGTCTGCGGGGTTCTTGGGAAAGCTTGGCGCTGTCGATTCTCACGAACTTGCCCAGATGACTACCGACGTTGGAAGGCTTACGGAAACCCGACTGTATCCTGCACGGGAGTTGTCCTCCCCTTTTCTCGGTTCCATAGCCCTCCCATGCCACTGATCTCGGCCGGGCTTTCATTGAAACATCAGATTCGAGGCGAGACCCACTCAAATCGCGAGAGATAGACGAGCAAACAAGCCAACAGGAGGAAGTGGCTGGCTGAAGTTTGGCAGTTGCGTTTAGAAGCCAATGCTATTTCTTGCATTGCCATGTGGGTCAGAAGAGCTAACTCTCAAGCATCTTGGAAAGAGTCTGGAGCATTTGGGAACTGAAGCGAACAACCCACCATCATCTCTCGACTTTGGACAAGACAGGCGTTCGGGTGGCCGATGCGCCGAGCCGCCGCCAGGCCCGGGCTGTGCGATATCTGTTTGTGCAGAGCAGAGAGCCCGTACCTATTATCATTACAGATCCTGCACCGATCACAGGCCAAACCCACATGAACAGTTCAGGTTCCGGATGGTGGCATGCGCAAGACAACCGGAGCGCGTCTGTTCCGTGATTCTGGGCTCTCGCGCTCGCGAAAGCCCAAGGGGCTGGTTCGAACCACGATCCACTGCCGGGCGTGGATATCATTACCGAATGCCCAGGAAGCGGAAGCCATGGTACGGATACCGGTACCTAGAGGCGTGGCCAACTCTGTCTGCTCAAAGTCAAGGTCATCTGACCTCTGAATCTCTGTCCCCTTTCCAGTCAACCACTCGGGGGGCTTCCGCGGTCTTGGGCAGACAGGGTTGCCTGGCCGTCAGCAAGTCTTGCTTTTTTGGCTCGGGCAGGCTAGTTATCTCGAGGAATGTCAAAGCAAGGGTCCTTCTCCAGCGACAGGAATCCGTGCCTGCGAGAGGCAAAATATGCCTCTTCCCAAGGTTGTTTTCCCAAGTTCCTTCTTTCTGTCGTCAACAAGCGTGCGAGCTGCAGCATACCAAACAGCACTCATCCGAAAACCGCCGCAACCATAACACCCTCCTCGGTCTCCTTCCCATCGAGTCTAAATTTGGGCCACACACTTTTGAGAGAGACTTCACGGGCAGCAGCAACTATATGCAGGCCCCGAGACAACCGAAACATTTGGCGAGGAGGGGGGAGGGGCAGGTTCGGTGTCAAGGGGGGGGGGGGGTGCGCGATCAGCCTGGCACGGAGCCCACAGAGCCCCATGCCACATTCCGTCTGGGGTTTTATCTCCAGGGTCAACTTTTTTTAACCTCGTCCTGCTTGTCGACGTGCACCTGCGACTTCAATCTTTAAGCATGTGGCTGACTACGAAGACGGGCTGATTACGGGAGTACGAAGTATGGACATACAGATTCTCCGTACAGAGAGTAAGGATCCTCAGCCCGATTACAGGCTTCGAACACGGGTTCGACGCCCGCTGGGCCCCCGCCGACGCGTACCTATCTGCCCGTCTAGGTCAAGCGGCTCCGGCGAGAGTTGCATGCTATTTTGCCTTCCCTGACTCGAAAGTTGATCTTTATCAAAAGAGTTTCTTCAAACGTCTCCTCCCACGGGATGGCGGGACCCTCTCTCTGCCACAGTAAGTTGAAGGCTCCGGCGCCCCGCTCCGTGTTTTTCTTTTCTCTGCCCGACCGAATGGTCTGGGACATTCGTGCCGGCCACCGGGGCGGAGACGACCTCTTGATGAAAAGATCCGCCGTCGTCATCTTTTGCAACGACCAACTGTGCTCCCCCTCTCCTCCCCGCCCCTTTATTTTTTTTTTGCCCACCTTTTCTCGCGCACACAAACTGATGCAGGGACGGGAATCCTGCCAGCCGAGAGAGGCGACATACATGGCTCGGGTCTCGTAATTTTCAGCCGCAGCGCGCTACGGTATACGGTGCTTACCTGACACTTACAGAGTATCCGTACCTAGCGACGCTGTCAGATTCTTACCCAACGGATGGGCACTTTGGCCGCGTCAGTCCACTCGCTACAGTCCACTTCTTCCTGTGTCGTTTCCGCCCTCGCATCGCGTGGCTTGTTAGGGATAATTTGATACCTAATCTGAACACCTGGCTGGATTCTGATTTTAAAGAAGGTGTAATAGTCATGAATCTCTTCTCCCTACTAAATGCATGAAAAGATAAGCTCATACGTAAAAGACATTTACTCTTTTTTGATGTGATCCTTTTCAACTCACCACCACCAAGTCACCTGGGATGTTTACTCATTAACTACTGCAACCTCCCGCATCTCAACAAAAAAAATTAAAAATTAAACGTCTCACAACAGCGTGTCACTTGGCTTCCTCCCGCCCTTCACTCACCGCTCAACCGCTCTCACACGCGCCTGTTACGCCCTGCGGCCTGCGCCTGCGCCTGCGCGTCCCGTCCCCCTCCTCCTCCATCCATCATGACAGTCGCACAGGGCTACCAC